TAATTTGATTTAGCTTGTGTATCTGTTCCGTTAAGGTTTTTGATTCTGTTTTGCATGATGCTTTCAGAGCAACCCATAAGTTTAGTAAGATTTTGATTGATTTGATGAGAAAAGCTGGCTGGGATCTTGATTTGGTGGCGAATTTGGTTTATCCTGATATTGATTATTCTAAGAAAGGACACAAATAGATTTGCTTTTTTGTCATATGTTTGCTTGGCGATGTTTCACGGTTTTGATTTTGAAGGGTTTGGTTTGAGTGAGAATGAACGTCTGTGTAATGGGAATAATGCTACTTGTTCATTGAAGCAATTACTTGAGCATGTATCTAGCAATCCCATGGAGTTGCTGAGAAGGAACCAAAATTCTGAATACTCAAGATTTTGTGAGAAGAAGTATCAGGACCTTATTCATCCCACCATGGAGTCATCGATTTTTAGCAGTTTGGATCAAAATGAAGTTGTGCTGAATTCGTGGCGGTCATTGAGCATATTCTATGAGTCATTTGTTAGCATGGCTAGTTCAATATGGACACTTCATAAGTTGGCCTTTTCATTTGATCCTGTGGTTGAGATGTTTCAAGTTGAAAGAGGAGTCGATTTTTCAATGGTATTTATGGAAGATGTCACCAAGAGATATAACTTGCCTGGCAAAACTAGGCTGAAAGTGTGTTTCACAGTGGTTCCAGGATTTAAAATTGGAAGGACTGTGATTCAGTCTCGGGTCTATTTAAGTGGGTTGAAATGTACAGGGTAGTTGCTCAAATATTGCCCCATGTAGAGAACTAAGTTATAACAAATCTTCTCTTTATAAAAAAAGATTTTGAAGCAAAGGTTATTTTGGTTTGCATCTTTGGCTGCAATCCTTGAAGGTTACATTATGACACTAGATTCCTAAAGATCAAAGTTTCAGTTTTAGTGGCTGCCTTGATCCTCAAGAAGATACCTACTATGTATACACTTAAAAAAATACTAACCCCGCAGCTGGACTTTGCACCGGGCTCTAGGGAGTGACTGCAGTAAGGCAGCTTCTTGGCTATCTTCTGATACTTAACCACATCTCCAGTTTGTGAATTTCTTTTCTTACGATTCTCATGTGAGTCCAATGTTGAAATGACTGTAAGCATTTTTCCCCATTGCTTTTTGTTCCTTTGACACAAGATAAATACTACTCCAAATGTGTATCCACATAGTTGTTACTTGTACAGTTTGACTTCCTATTATTCCACTTTTAGGTTGTCTTTGATCAAAGCAAATATGTTAAGCAAAATTGCATTGCTATTTTAATGCTGTTGAGTTCTTTAATGGCATTAGGTTGGCATGGATGACCCACTTAGATCATGTCTTCTGGTCGGTTATGGAGATTCTTTCATGGATTTTCTTCAATCAATTGCATTTTATCCTATAACCTCCCTTGCATTTTAAAAAGAAATGTGGTGAAAAACCAGCTAAGGGAACTGGCTTTTGTTTTGTTATTGCTATGCAATCAATGTTGCATCTTACCTTTCTTTGATCTGATGAGATGCAAATAAACTCCATATGTTCTTTTGATGGTAAATTATCTAATTCGAATTACTAATTATGTAAAAGAAATGTGCTTGAACATCAATTTCGCAATAACTAAAGTTATTCTGTAGCTCTAATTACTAACTTATCTATTGGGCTAAATTTTGGATTTGCAGAAGTATCGAATACAAGTATGGTCTGCTACTCTTCCCGCAATATGTACCTCTCACTTCCGCATTTACTGAAACTTTGTCACGTTTTCTTGTAATGATCGGTCTGAGACGGTTTTACTTTCTGCACATAATTCGTGTTCTTAATTCAGCTAGACGTTGCAACTTGCAACCATACGAGTGCGAGTGCTTAAATGTTTTCACCCTGGTCTGGATCAGGTCTTTTTATACAATGTCTAAGAGCAATTCTATTACACCAACTAATTATCTGCAGTTTGAAGCAATGAACTGTAAAAGTCTTACTTGTTACATACTTTTTGATTTTTACTTCTGTCTGGTATTGTTGTACCTGCCTGGCTGTGTTTTTGACTTGTTTATTATTGCTTTCTTTGAACATGGTGTCAAGTGCAACTTCCTTCTCACCAGAAACCACATTTAAGTAAAAGAACCTGTTTTTGTGAGGATGGGGATGAGATTGTTCGTTTGTGATTGTCATGACTCATTCTGTTACTTTAATTCATTGATTTTTACATTTTTTTTATACGAAGGAACCATAGCTTAAAGCTAGGGGAAAGGATTTCAAATGTTGAGATTTGAAATCTCAAATCTGTTAAGTATTATCTTTTAAGGGTGATTGTACAAACTAACTGAGCTAAAACTCTGGCTTCATTTTTACATTTGACATACATTATTTTTACCAATGCTCTCACTAAAGATACAACTTCAGTGGACCATCACTCAAATTTTTTAGTAATCGGTGTTTTGACTAATCATGGTAGACATTCCTAATTTGGGATTGTTAATGTATTTGCCTTGCCTTTATGCTTTTGTCTGGTTGTGTCTTCTTTGCTCCAGGTTTTAAGCTCTCTGTGCTACTTGGTTATAGACTGTATAAATTATATATTTATGCTTATTTATTTTGTGTTAATATGTATATAAAATATATGTTTAATTATTAAGTCACCAATTATATATCAAATTACAACACATTTTTTGTTTTTATTCAAATTAATATATTATTTTATTAAAAATTTAAATCGTATTATTTTTATTATATTTTTTCCATATCATATTTTATATCGTATTTAACAATATTAAATCTACTTTATACTCGATTATCAGTAAGAATTAACAGTAAATTTACCTTTTTCTCATTGTCCAGAATCGTTTATCCTGATGATTACCGATTTAGTTCTAGTGATTAAGGACCTCTAACTCGGTTTAACTAAAGAGGTATTGTTACAAATAGTTCTTAAATTGTAGTAAAATGTTTAATGTGATAAATGAATTATGAATTTTTTAATTAATGTGATATTTTGAAAGTTGCTTGTGTATTATATGCGATCATTTGAAACTAAATACATTATGAGAAGAATATCATATTAGTTAATAAATTTAATATTTATCACATTAAGAGTAGGAATAGCAGCTCAACTCGTCTTCGATAGGTTTCAACCCAATTCGATCTCTTTAGGTTTTTTTTTTAAATCAAATTTTGGGTAAGATAATTTTAGAACAAAGTCGAAATCGATTTAAGTAAACTTGTCCGTTTCAACTTGGTATATATAAAATTATTTTTTAATTAATTATTTAATTATATATTTTTATATTTACATTAAAAAATAATATTTTATATTTTAAAAATAATTTTTATTAATTTTGGACTGATTCAAATACGATTTTATATAATATTGGGTTTGATCGAGTTCGAGTATAAAAAATTTTAAAAAATCATCGAGTCAAGTCAAATTAGGTTTAGGACGAACAAAAATTTGTTCCAATCCGATCCATTATCATCTCTAGTTAGGAGTAAATATTATATTTAATTACTAAATTTTATAATTTAAATATCATATGAGAGATTTTTAAAATTTAAATACTGCATTGAACATTTTGATATAGATTAAAAATCATTCATATCATTAACCCTTAATTAAAAGAGTTTGATGCAATGAACAAAATCCAACGACTCATAGACAACAACAGATCAAGCCCGCAAGCAAAGCTAGCATCAGAGGAAATTAAAGGCACCCACAAACAGGCCACAAGGCCATTTGCAGCAAGGCAGCTAAAAACTAAAAATTAGACCAGACCCTGTGTGACCACAAACTGAAATTGCCCGACATCAAACCTGCGTTGGAGCAATGTAAGAGAAATATTTGCATATGAAACAAAATGAGATTTTCTATGTAATGGCACCAAAACAAAGGTACCTCAGGTTTAGCTACAGAGAAATCTGATCTGTTCTAACAAATCATAAGCAAAATTCTCTCGCCAAAACACAACTGCTTTCACTGTTTGTGTATTCATAAATCACATCTCTAATAGTTACTTTGAGAGCCAATAGATAATAAGAAACAACGTACAAGCAGCAATTACTGCTGACAGAATAAGAGTGTCTCTTGATCGCCTCCTTCTGATGGAACCTGGAAAGTAGAAGAATTTTAACGAGGAAAGAATAATAGTATGAAGAATAAAAACTCAGCAATAAAGATACACCATGAAGTACCAAGTAAGCCGCGGATGACGGGAAACTTGTCACTTAGAAGTTTTACTTTCCCTTGAACGTCTCCAAACAGAGCTCTTTGAGAGCCCAAGACTGCCCTTGTCGTTTGAGCTTGACTAATCACATCATCTATCTATAAGAAGATAACATCAGGAAAATGGAATGGAAGGCTATCATATTTTTAAGCAACCAAATCCAAACTGATGGAAGGCTATCATGTAAACTGGATGAATGCTTGTTATAGGCAAAATTTTAGGAAATACGGATTTGTTATTTGGTCAAAGCTTTGGGTTTTGAGACTTGAGAAATGTGATTTTGAGTTGACTATGGAGATTTAAATCAGCATTCTCTCCAAACCATTAAGCAAATGGAAAATATAACATCTATTGGCAAAACACATAACGGGAAACTTCTTTTGAAAAATGCTCCAAGATGCATAACAATAAGAGAACATTTAAATCTTACATGAGCAATGCTTCCGTGGATGGCAGCTCGCTCTCTGAGTAACTGCATTCTTGGTGACAAACTCCCAGATGCCTGCATGAAGGCAGATATGGTTATCGTTGGGAAACAACATAGTACTGGCAATGAAGTAACAAAATTAAGAGTTAAAATCGTATAAATACCTTGTACTCACTGATATCATCCTTGACAGAACTCAGAAGCTCTACGTGTTCCCTCATTGAATTTATGTTTCCCTTGATTCTTCTAAATTCCTAACAAAATTTATACCATTACTTCAAAAGGATAGAAAAATTGTTGAAATGATAAACATCCAAAAGCAGCAGTAACTGGGAGTAATTCCTTGGAACATGGGTAGACTAGTTTATAGTGCAATGAATCAGAGTAGCAAGCACTTAAAGAAATCCTAGATTTTGGTTATGCAGAAGAGCAAAATGGACGAGGGAGGAACATATTCTACTTCAGATATGGAAGACAAGAGAACCATTTGGGGCTTAATTGGATCTGTAACTGGTAACAGCCACACTTATCTTCCAATCTCTCATGGTTCAACAAAAGAGGAGATAAGGACATTTCTAACTGTAAAACAAAAGAACACTGAAAATCACATGCTATCAAGATACAGTTACCCTTGCAAGCAATGACAAAACCCACCAATCCAACTTGTTACAAGCTTGCCAGAGCCTGTCTCCTAGGAAGCAGCTTCATGGTGACATTATTTAGTACGATGATCAGTTTGAACCCATGGCCCATAAACATCTTAGTGACAGAAGCAGAGAAGTTGAAAGAAAATTTGTTCAATTGCAGTATCATTCATTATTAACAGCATCAATAAGAAAAAATTAAAGAGAAACATATACAATGACTAGAATTTAGCAGCCTATACTAGGCCCTAGAAGAAAGGTGAATGCTACACTAAACTCATAATTTCCTTATTAGCAGTAATGTTGGAAAGATACCATGATATAGTCCTATTTCTTCGAGGCTCATAATAGTTGGTAATTAAATGTGGAAATCTACTTCTGAAAACAAGTTTAGATAACAATTACAGCATAGTCAACTGAATATACCTGATTAAACTCATGTAGTATGTCTCTATGCCTTGCAAGCTTCTGGGTTACAGAAGTAGTTGGTGCAGCAGATGCAGCACATCTACTCATGGCATCATTTGTGTC